AGGACGAACAAGTCTTAAGAAAGAGCGTAAGCCTGTAATCAAAGGCTCGTTTGACGTAGACAGACACCATTCAGCTCTGTTGTATTGTATTGATGTTGGGGGGAGCTTCAGCCGGCTGTTTTGTTTACAGGAGGGGGGAGCTGGGGAAGGGTACACCTCAAGTCTGAGATGTGCAGCCTTGAACTACGGCAACCTCACAAGCAACACAAGTTCACATACCAATATTACACAAAAGCTCACAGGGATTATGACAGCAATGGTTTCTAGCAGCTAGTCGAAACACAGTTTAAGTTGCTGAAGCATTTGGTTTAGTAACACATTGCAGCACTTGGGGGAATAAATGGGTGTGCTAACATTCTGTGAAGGGGGTTGGGATTCGAACTGCAGATACAATACAATAGACACAGATGATTCAGCAGAGGAACAGAAAATGAAATTGCTACACCCTTGACCTTATCATTTTCTCATACAGGTGGTGCAAGTCACAACCACATAGGATTTTGTTTATGCATGGCTGCATCATAAAAGGTATCATAAGGGCATCAAGGCATGTCTGCAACTGAAAAAATAATGGCTGGCGTTGATACAATTATTTGGTGTAATATATAAACGGTATGGAAATTTCAAAGATCTTAATGTCTAAGACAGGACTTGGCGTTTACCAAATCAAAGCCAGCAGACAATGTGCGAGTTCAGCAACGTTATCCATATAAGCTTTCTTTCTGTACACTGCATCACACGGGCAGCCAATCAGCCGAACATCACAATCAGAACAGCTAATGTTTCCGCCCTTTTAAAATTTTATAATAAATATAGCATGCTAGAATGTTCTCATCATCCTGCATGTGCTTAAACCAATCAGGTGATGGACCCAAAAAAATTTGGTACGAAGGAAATTAGTTTCCCTATCTCTAAAGCTGGTGTGGAATCTCAGCAAGGTGGCAATTTGCTGGCAGCGAGGCCAAATTGGCCTGGTCAGCTTTGAAGACCAGAATTGCAAGTTCAGACTTCAACGTTGTGGGCCATATGCAGACCCATATCCTTGTTTCTATAAAAAATATATATGCCAACTGACTTTGGGGACAAAAAGAGCTATCTTCCCAAAAAAATATGGGTGCAAAAAGGACTGATTCCTTTATGTGGGATACACATGGGCTCCACGCTGGTCAGCATTCAGTTATGAAGATAAAACTTTATAGGAACAATCATACCTTCATAAACAAAATAAAATAAAATAATGGATATATCACCTAAAAAAGATAAAGAAATTGAAAATGCCAGGCATCAAGCAGCTGCTACAATTTGAATCCTACAAAACCAGTGCTCAGTGCTGTTTTGTAAATGTTAGCTATTAGATTTGCTAAATGTGCTTTGTAACTACTGACCTCAATCATATTTTCTCCTTATCTATCCAGTTCTTCCCTCTTTCCTTTTATATGTTGAGAGAAAGCTTAAGAGACCAAGCTTGGAGAAACCATTATTTGAGCATGCTTACAAACGGCTTTTGTAAGTAAAAAGACCAGCAGTTCTTGATGTTTAATAGCATTGGACAATTTTATGTATTAACTAACCCACCAACTAATATTGTGTCAAAATACCAACAATAATTACCAACCACAACGCCAACAAAAGGTAAACTGGCAGTGAAGGACGTTATACAAATTCTCATGATGTATGTGCAGCAGTTAGTTGTAACTTCAGAAAGCCACACCACGAAAAGAGGGGAAAGGACTCTTTCAGATGCCAGCACACCATGAGGTCCTTAAAATGAGCACAAGCCATCTGCTGCCAACATGCGTACCCCATGTGTATGCTAAACTTAATCGTCTCGATCACAAGCCTTGGTTAAAACATTTTTCTTTCTTTGGTTAGGTCAAGGGAGAAGGCACCATTTTTAATTCAACCAAAACTTAGAATAATCGTCCTAGATTATTGGGATACGTAACAGGACTTAAAAAAGCTACCACTACACAGAATAACACCCAAAGGGGCCAAGATTAAGAAAGGTTCTACCTAAGAGATGCACAAGGAACACAAGGTGAGATAAAAGAATGATAAAAGGTACAATCAAAGGGATGCTAAACTATTTTCTGCAAAGGACATCAATGGTCACAAATACTCAGAAGCACAATGAATAAAAACTGCAACTTTTCCCGGAAACTATGTATAAATATCTGAATAGTTTCTAATTGCAAAATGCAAATGAATACAGATTACAGGAGTACTTGATTTGATACTAAATTTTCATCACATGAAGTGCCAAAGCATGGAAATACTTACCTAACAACATATTGTGATAACATCTTGTCGGTGTTTCGAACAAGCACCGGCTAAGTAAATTTATAATTATAATGCGTTAGGCCGGATGGTGCGCTAAAAGACATAAGGTTTATCTTGGTTCAAGCTGAATGTCCCTACGTCCAGTCTGTTGCTGCTCGTGTTATTAGCGCTAAAAACGGTTTGTAGTAGGGGGTACAAACGGTCGAGAGAGGGACTGGTCCTAGGTCTCTGATGGAAGGGCCGAAAAGAGGCAAAGAGCCTGACGGCGGCTTGGCTGTGTATGTGAGTTGAACTGAACCCTCTATGAGTTCGTCTGTATGTGAGTTGTTCGTTGAAAGTCGATCCCTCTAGTGGGGAGCCCTGCCCTCCCTTTTATAGACCAAGGGGGGAGCAGGGGTTACAGATGAGAGAAAGAGGAAAATACCAAGGGTATAGAAGGTCCTTCGAAGGATTCGGGTCTTCCTTTTTCCCAGCGCCTGCCTTGTATAACATGGCAGACCGTGTCAGAAGTGGTGTGTTCGGCGATCTTACGTAGGCCATGCCACAGCCTCTTTTAGCAAGTGGCAGTGTCCCATCCCGCCCCTCTGGCGTATGCGTCGGACAGGGTTCTTTGAACCCCGACCCGTAGGGAGCGGATGTCATGATGGCTTGCTTGTTACGCCACGGTGAGGGCGGAGTCTCTCCTTGGAGCGTAGTGGTTGTCGTATGTTAAATGTCGGGTTCTTCGCCTGGTGGTTTGAAGGCGGCGCCTACAACAACTGCTTGAGAGGCGAAAACACGCTACCTAAATACTATTCGAGCTCACTACGCTGGAAGGGTCTAACACCCTGTCCCGTCATGCCTGGCGGTACTCTCCGGTGGGGCGCGGGCATGGTCCTTGATGCTGTGGTTGACCCGACGTCTTGTCCTACCTCATGCCTAGCATCATGAGGGAGCGGGAATGCGATTGTCAGGCGGCGGAGCCAATCCTTGGACATCGGTAGTGAACCCAGCCCCTCGGGGGTCGGGCGAGCGAGCCCAACCCTCGAGGGGGCGGGCGGAGTCTAGCAACCATCGGGGAGGCGGAGCTGGCGAGTCTAGCCCTCGGCCCTCACCCTTGGCGAGGTGGAGCCGCCCCCGGCCGTCGTGGGAGGCGGAGCTGGCCGACGAGCATTAGGCGTGGCGGAGCGTCCCCGCCACCGTCGGGGAGGCGGCAGGCTGGCCGACGGGCCTCGGGCGGCGGAGTCTAGCCCTCAGCCCTCGGCGCGGCGGAGCCGCCCCCGGCCGTCGGGGGGCGGCGGAGGCCCGACGGGCCTCCCAGGCGGCGGAGTCTAGCCCTTAACCCTCGGGTGAGGTGGAGCCGTCCCCGGCCCATCGAGGAGGCGGAGGTGGTGGACGGGCCTTGGGCGGCGGAGTCTAGCCCTCGGCCCTCGGGCGAGGTGGAGCCATCCCCACCGTCCGGGGAGGCGGAGCTGGCCGACGGGCATCGGGCGTGAGACCAAAACTCCCGTCGTTCGGGCAAGAAGCGCAGCGGTGTTCTTTGTCCGTTCGGGAGTTTTTAACGTTCGATGGTTATTGGTTTCATCTCCTTGAGTACCCAGTATTAGGTTCCCGACACATCTGTTCTGTATGAATCCAAAAAAGATGAACATATCAGCTGAGTGGAGGCAAATAACCATGTTGCATTGCCGTCACCTTCAAAGCACTTGTAGTTGAAACTTAGTAGTTTGTTCTCATCAGTCCAAATGAAATCATTACAAAATTCCAGAAGCCCTGCTAACGAAAAGGTAGATAACTTTATACTGTCCCATAAGAATAAAAAGAGGACAAGAGTGAGAATAACTATTATTGAAATCATGACTGGTTAGTCCCTCCTACTGAACTGAGGCAATTGATAGGATATCAGAAAATGATGATCTGACTCTGAAAAAAGAAAACCGAGAGAATGTGTATGAACTCCAAGAGGTTGTTAGGTATCCTGTATATTGTTTTCCCATGAATAAAAATATGATGGTGCAATGAATGAATAGAGAGTGGGCTTAAGTTTTTTTTATGATTAACATTAAATCCTTGGAGGTATTCCAAATTTCCCATTTATCAATGCAAATAAATAATTAAATGCTAACTAAATGAGAATGCCAAGATTATATCAACAAAGAGTGAAACGAAACAATTTTTTGAAATGAGAACGGCTCTCAAATCTCAATACATACTAGCATGGTTTGGAAATCAGTAGGTTACGTTGTCAAGCACAAATATACAATAAAATCCATTAGACTATTCTAAGTTTGTAGATCATAGTGCAGTTCAGGTGGGAAAAACAGCAATGCCCTACATTCATATGAACTGTTGGATCCTCCAATCTGTGGCAACAATCAATTCCTTACCAGTGGCTTGCAAAGTGCGTGAGCATTATTACCTTCACCTGTTTAATCATCAACATCTTATATTAAAAAAAACCCAAAAACCGAAATCATTGCAATTTGCCAACATCTTAATCTCATCATCCCACTTATTGCAAATATCAGCTTGACAACAATAATAAAGAGGACACTCGACACTGTGTGTTTGAGAAAGAAAAAAAATATGAGAACTGTACAGTGTGCACTGCTAGCCAAAAGGGATGCAGCTATCTATGTATTCTACTTCCAGATGTTGCATCGAGCAATTCAGACCTACCAAGAGCATATCTACATTACTTGTGGATGGAACTTCTGATGGAGAGGAAACTTCAAAATGAACTATGGATTATTTGCACTAACAAGCTTCTCTCGTAGCCTTTCCGCACGGGCCTGAACAAGGGAATGCAACAGAATGCATGAGTTATTGAGGTTTCAGAGTTAAATTATGTAGAGATTGAAGTGTCCACAAGGCAAATCTCTAATGCTAACCCTGAAAGACTTGGATCGGCGAATAGATGGATCAAGATCCAAGGCATCTGCATAGGCATCTTCCGCAACAGAATATTCACCCATTGCAAAAAGTGCGTCGCCTCGCAATAAGTGAGCCTGCAAAGCCATGGTCAATAAGAGGTGCAAAACCATGACATGCTTAATGACAACAATAATAATAACATCAGCAGTCCAGAGAAAAGTGATGTCTGACATGCCTAAGTAAGTAAGGATGCAGTGAGGACTGAAGACTGCTGTTCGTCAAAGCCTCAAATGGAAATGGTATTGATTTATAGTCATACCATGAAATTGCATTTTGATTAATGTACCAAATCAATTTATGAAAAATAACACTGTTTCGAGAGGCTCCTCCAATTTATACAAGTCAAAGTGATTTCAGATAATGAATGATGTGTTAGTTACAAATAAATTGTGAGCACCTATCACCCAGTGCCACTTCAACCCTTTGCATTAAGAAAAGAAATAAGCATGTTACTAGAAACACAGTACCCAATATGTATAAGTATAAATCGTCACATTTACTTATAGTCATTGATGAGGGTACTCTTTGGTTTTGTTGATTGTTACAAGTACCAAGCCTTCCTTACTTCACCTATCACGAAGTTACTATTCTGTGTAGGCACTCACATAAGTTTGTAGGTTCAGCTAACATTGGTGACGGGAGGTAACCAAGCCAATTCATAATTGAGACGATCAAAACATAGATAGACATAGACATCAATTACTGGTATTTTTCAACCTTATACTAATATACTCCCATGGATGTAAGAACATGAATATGGTTGTACAAGAAAGGTTATACTCGGGAACTTTGGAGGTTCTAAGTAAAGCAAATACCTGAGGAAATCTGGGAGCTATTCTTATTGCTTCCTCAGCGTCCTCAAGTGCACCAGAGATATCCCCCATTGCCAATCTCGCCTTAGACCTGCATAATTTCAACAGGATGTTTCATGCCAAACTTACACACGAAGTACACAATTACACTTACAGACACTAATTCCCACACTGAACTCGAAGCAACAGAACGAACCTGCTCTTGTACACCAAATGCAGACCACCACAAGCATTGGACCCAATAACCTATGCAAACATACAAGTGTAATCATCAAGCTCGAATCCAGCAACTCAGGGAGCATGCACAATCGCAGAGTGGCGCATGTGTCCAGCACAGACCTCAGTCAGAAGGGCTTCCGCTTCGTCCGCGTTTCCCTTCTCGAGGGCAGCCTTCGCCTTCTCCCCTCGTGGCCAGCGCGGTGAGCCCTAGGGCCGCGTCGAACTCCGCGGAGCCGAGGAGGTGCTCCAGTAGCTGCGCGCCTCGCGCCGCCGTGCCCACGTGGCCGAACACCGCGGCGCTCCCGGCGACGGACGCCGCGACGTTGGGCCCCGGCGCCGCAGCGCCTGAGGCACCCGCAGGAGCCCACGTCGACCCGCGGCGGCGCGAGGCCCGCGAGCGCAGCCAGGACCTCGCGCCCGCCCTGTCGCGCGCACGTGCGGTTCGTGCAGACCCGCACCTCCACCGCACCCGAGGCGCGCGGCGGAGCAAGGCTATGGCGGCCGCGATGCTGCGCCTGTCGGGGAGTGCAGGCGAGACTGGTCAGCCGGGCCACCGCCATCGCCATCGCCGCGTGACCTCTGGTCTCTGGATGAGGCGGGGAGCTTTTCTGTGGGACAGTGGGAGGATGGTAATTCCCTGTGAGAAGCGAGAAGAGCCAGATAAGCAACCGTTGGCGCCTAGTGCCTACTCCACTCCGCTCCATCATCCTCCCTCCCTCCTTCCCGATGCCTCCGACTACGGTGCCTTCCACTTCCCTCGCACTCCCCACCGCCGCCCGTGCCGGCGCTCGCCGCCATGCCTTCTTCAGCAACCGATCACCCTCAAGCGTCCCCACCGCGCGCCTCCGCCGCGCGCCCCGGCTCGTCATGGTCTCTGCCTCGGCGTCTCTGGAGGCCCTCATCTTTGATTGCGACGGCGTCATACTGGAGTCAGAGAACCTCCACCGCCAGGCCTACAACGACGCGTTCGCGAACTTCGGGGTGCGCTGCCCGCCGGCCTCCTCCGACCCGCTGTACTGGGACGAGGCTTTCTACGACGACCTACAGAACCGCATCGGCGGAGGGAAGCCCAAGATGCGGTGGTACGTAAGCAAGTTTGGTTTCTTTCGTTACGGAATTGCTCGACCTACTGGTTAATTGCTTGTGATGAGTGATGACCATGTGCCTTGCCTTATGCTTGGTGCTTTGCGCAAAAAATGCATTGGGATGTCCATGCTTATGTGTTAGTGGGATGCTAAATCATATTTGCGGTTTAATTTGTGCATATTCAAGCTTTGATCATAAACGTGTTGTTAACTTACGAACTCTGGGATAATCACACGGCACATTGCCGTTTCTGCAATGGACATGTAAGAAGTTTACAAACGCTGTACAATGCAATTGTTCAGCCGCCCGCCCGCCACTGATTGTTGCTTGTCAGCACGTGAAGGGAACGATTTCATATATATCATGCCTTATTAGTACTTGGATCTTTTTGTGACGTTGGTTCTGAATTGGTTGGGGCTTGGGATTTGACAGGTACTTTGGGGAAAATGGGTGGCCTTCTTCAAAGATCTTTGAGACACCACCTTCGACTGACTCTGATAAGGAGAAGTTGGTTGACATAATTCAGGTCTGCCTTTTATATCTTTGGTTTTACAACATGTTGGATTGTTCATTAATATCACTTCTGCGGTGCAGGATAGGATCACAAATACTTTGAGCCATTCACTAGTTTAAAGTTATCTTCAAAAGTTGTGTGTTCTACACGAATGCTAATCTCTTTTATCAATCTGTCATTCAATTATACTTTTGCAATTGCATGTTATTTATCCAAAAAAACTGGAATCTTAGCTATGAACTTCGGTTGTGTTCTCTCCTTCTCTAATCTCTATCAGTGTGCAAGTCTTTTGTGCATTCTTGAAAAAACACGTTATTACAGCTTACACCATTTTACCTTCTGAATTCAGGACTTTCACAGTTGTAACACTTAATTTGCAGGATTGGAAAACAGAGAGATACAAAGAAATAATAAAATCTGGAACTGTAAGTTCAGTGCCTTCATTATTTCCTAAACTTACATCATAATTATAATTAATATGCATAACAAGTCATCTCTTTTTTTTCTGACCCTGATTTGAGTCTCTCTATTGTTAGGTGAAACCTAGACCTGGTGTTTTGCGGTTGATGGATGAAGTGAAGGATGCGGTAATATAACTTATTGGAGTATCTTTCTTTTATTTTATTTTTTCAAAGCAACATCTTCGTTGTCTCCGTACTAGTGTTTTCGTAAAAATTTGAATGGTTCGTCACATTACCTCAGTGAGTTCTCAACAGTATAGCTATTTGGTACTCTGAGGTGATTTTTATCCTTTATACAATGGTGTAGGGTATCAAGCTTGCTGTTTGCTCTGCAGCGACTAAAAGTTCAGTCATAATGTGCCTTGAAAACCTTATTGGACTTGTAAGTTAAAATTTATGATTTATGTTGCTTTCACATGTCTGCCCCAAAACTTCTGTTGTGTTGGCTGGTTTTATTTTTTTCTCACTTCTGCTCTTGTTTCTATAGGAGCGATTTAATGGCCTGGATTGCTTCCTTGCTGGTAAGGTTCTGTTTTCCCCTCTTCTTTTGTCTTTTTAACCTTTAGTCTTTTGAATTTCACTGGGAACAGTAACAAAAGAAATTACAAAACTCCTCATGTTCTTTTTTTTCAATAAAATCCTTTACAGTGGGGGTCTCCCTTGCTGTATTTAATGTTAAAAAACAAGGAATATATAGTGGTTGCATTTGTAGCACTTGTAAGAACAGTGTAATGCCTTTAAACTATATAAAAACTACAACAAATATGTCATCAGTTAAGCAAGTCCTGTAAACAATAGATTGTTGAGGATGCTTTGCATCATATTTCCCAAATGTGAAATATCAGATCACTCCTTTGTCAATTGTCAAACTTAATTTATTTGGATCTGGCAGTCGCTAAGGTTCTGGTTGCGATAAAGACAACAGTCCTTAAATTGCACAATTCTCAATTGCCTCCACTGCAGGTGATGATGTTAAACTAAAGAAGCCTGATCCAACAATATATATAACAGCATCAGAGGTAGTGAACACTAGTATCAAGTCTTGTCTGTTTTTTCATATATATATGATATATCCAGAGTTGGTCACGTTAAGGACCTCCTTTGCTGTACCCAGAAATTAGGTGTGGGAAGCAAGAACTGCCTTGTGGTTGAGGATAGTGTTATTGGATTACTAGTAAGTCTTCCAAGTACGTATTTGATTAACCGCACTAATCCTGTTGACTATGAGATACATTTACCTTTTTATAGGCTGCAAAAGGGGCAGGGATGTCATGTATAATAACATATACACCTTCAACTGCTAGCCAAGTAAGATTGATCTTTAGCTCTAGTTCTTGTTCACTGTAATTGAACTGTATCCTGATCTGCTAACTTCTTCATAGGATTTCAAGGATGCAATTGCTACCTATCCTGACCTTAGTAATGTCAGGTAGGTTCTGCTCGATTGACATTTGAGACCTTTTTGTGTGTTAGATAAATTACAGCTGTTATATCTTTACAGGCTTGAGGATCTCAAGCTATTACTCCAGAAAACTCTTGTTACTGGATAGTGAAGTGTCTTGTTTTCCCCAAGGAATACATTAACAAAAAAAATTCATGCATGATAATCCATGGTAAGTTTGTTTCTATATCTGTGACTCATTTCTTTGGTTTAGATTCCCATCTTGGATTGCCTCTGTCTAAAGATTACATTCCTGATAGTTTAAGTCTGGAATAATTTTGTAGTTAGTCATATAAGCCAAATTCTCATTTTTTTAAAGTCATATATTTCACTAAAAATGAAGTCCTGCATTTACTTTTCACTTTTTCAGTGATTATTCCCTGGATGTTGAACAGTTGGTGCTGGATGTTGAACAATAGGTGAAACCAAGCTATACATCTTGTTGAACAGTTGGTGCTAGATGTTGGAAGACATGATTACTCGGATGGAAGTGAAGATCCGCCTTGAATCATTGCCCTCACACCAACTCACAATAAAATCCTACCAAGATAAGCTCTAGAGAGTTGTGAGGGAGGAGTGAATGCCTATGAATAAGTTTGTTTCAAATTAGCCTAAAGTCAGTTTGTTTCAAATTATGCTAAAGTTAATAAGTGAAAGAGTGAAGGATATCGAGAAAGCTATAGAACACCCGAGTGTTCTAGGAGCTCCCCACACGCGATTTCTGGAGCCTAGATCCGCACGGGAACAGGTGGAGGCCGTCCGATCCCACGCTCGGTCGAGCTCGCGACTCCTTCCTCCCTCCCCTCCGGCGGCTGCGGCGGCGGCGGTGGCGGCGGAGCTCATGGACGCCGACGAGGTAGGCGTCTGGTCCTCCTCCTCCACCGGAGACGAAGATGACAGCGGTGGTGACTAGGGTTCCGGCGAGCTCTCCCCCTCTTTCTTCTCCAACTCCGGTGGGTATAGAAGGGCCGGTCGGGGGGGTAGGCGAGAGCTAGGCGGTGGGGATGGTGGCCGGGCGGTTTAGGGGAGGCTGGCGGTGGTAAGGCCGCGGGCCGTGCAGGCGGCGAGGAGGCTCGTCGGAGTTGGAGAAGATTACAGCCAGGCGGCGAGCTAGAAGATGACTGACGATGGGGGAAGGAAGAGGGAGGTCACCATGAGCGTTAGGGTTCGCGCAGAACTCCGGCCGAGCTAGGTCATGACCCTAGCTCGTCGGAGTCTCAGCAAACCCTAAGCCCTTGACAAGCGGGTGGTCGTGGGGGCGACGAGGACGAGTAAGGAACAGGCGAAGTGGAGGAGGAAGAAGAACAAATGTGAAGAAAAATTACGAGTATGGGGTGGGAGGAAACACACGGATGCCAAATAGACAGACTCAGTATATATATATATATATATATATATATATATATATATATATATATATATATATATATATATATATATATATATATATACCACTCTCAAAATCCTAGAGTTACGACGCATCATGTCATAGTCCAAACACTTCGGCTAGAAGACGAACAAACACTTCGGCCATAGAAGTTTGGCGCCTTGTGCTGGGGTGGGAACACTTCGATGTGGACTTAATTCGGCCTTGGGTGCAACCATCTAGCATAAGGGCGTGGTGGGAAGTGGGGGCGGCCAACATCCCAAGGCAGAGACGTAGACACTTCAACGGGGTGGTCATCTACACAATGTGGAACATCTGAAAGGAAAGAAATAGAAGGATTTTTTAAAATTTGGTGATGGATGTCTGGCGGGTAGCCTCCAAAACCAAAGAGGATATCGACCTATGCTCTAGGGTCTTCAACAACCTGACCTCGACCTTGTATCTATCCCCCATGACATGTGTGCTGTGTGTTTTACTTTACTCTGTGTGCCCTTTGGGGGTTTTGTGCCGATGGCACTTTCGCATACTCTTTTTCCTTCCTTAATTAAGAGGCAGAGCTATTGTCATGTTCATTAAAAAAGATGAACACTACCAGGAAAATGATTTTTCCACACTTGCTCTGTTCGGATTATCTGGCATAAAACCAGACACAACAGGGCTGGACACCCTGCCTATTGAAGTCGGTGGGTGCAATACAAGTGACTATTTGAGCTTTCAGACATCGACAAACAATGTATATCTTCTTGATACTATGGCATGTATATTACTCAGCGAGCTAGACGGAGCTGCAAGTTTTGACACAAAACCCGATCCAACCCAACACGAAAACCTAACCCAACCTCAGATACAGCCTGATTTGACCCGATGCATCTTTCTAGTGGTCGTGGGTCAGTGGGACAAAAAAATTTGACTCAGCGCTAAGCTACAATCAGTCAGGTCACAAAAAATAGCATGTTTTTTTTTTTCCAACACGACACTTGGTGCCTGTTTGAATCATATAATAAGTACTAATTTCTAGTATGCTAAAATTAACAATGATGGATCCAAATATGTAGTTGCTAATAGCTCACCTTTTTACTTATGGATCAATCAGCAATAAAAACAGCTAGTAGTTGCTGAAGATTAGCAACCTTCAAATAAGGGGTCCAAATAGGGCCTTGATTTAGCATTTTGAGGTCTACTAAAAGAGATCAATGAGCTGAAACCTTAGGCTGTGCTTGGTTGAGAAATGAGTGGAATGAGATCATCTGTCTTTGAAGTAGGATGATCTCCTCTAGTGTTTGGTTTAGAGGACAAAATCATCCTTGTTTTGTGTTTGGTTGAAGGCCCACCGGTAAATAAGTGGAATCAGGCATCTGTTATTTGTTTCCTGCAGTTCCAACCTGGGTACTACTCAAAAGCAAATATTTAGAATCTATCTGAATGTGCTTTATTATTTAGTTAGCCTGATTGGTAGGGTTTACTTCTTGCCTAGTTAGTCTGGCATGCTCACAAGCTCGCAATATTTGGATCCTGGTTAGTGCGAGTGACCTGATTTGTTTGCAGTCTATGTATCTGTCCTGTCAGCCACCTGGAGACCAATCGGATGATTTATTTTACTGGAAGCTAATAATAATTTTGTATGGAATTTGAACGTAACATTACACCATGTTAGTGGTTTGCCATTAGGAGCTTATCCATTAATCAGCCATAGCATCAATGCCATCAAGGAGAATAAGCATACCTAATTCTGTGGGTTATTCTTTTCATATAGCCATTCTGTGTCGCGTGCTTCCTGTTCCTTGATTTGGCTGGGAGTCAGACGTTATTCTGGTTGCCTGAGCAACTGGATAGCTAGGAAATAAACGCTAATTGAATAATTTGTAGCATCAACCTAGCACACAGGAAAGATGTTTGTGTTATTTTCGAAGTAGTAAATTTTCGAGCTGTCTTTGAGTGTGAATCATGACTGTTCAGGTGGTGGTGAATTAGGGGGCAGGACCCAATCCACTTCTCAGAGCGCTTCGTTGCAACGTTAAGGCAAGTGCATGACGAGCTTGTGTTTGGGCTTTACACCTATTGTTCGAGTTTTCCTTTGGTTTCAAGTATTTCGTTAAATTTTCTAGTTCATGTTCAAGTTCCTGTTTCCTGAGATTCAAGTTTCAATTGTTATTTACATTCCATTCAAGTTCCGGTGGATCCAGATGTGCAATTTGGTTCTTATGTTCAGGTTCCTATGAGTAAGTGCTGACCCCACTTATTCGGCTTTATCGGTAAATGCAAATGATTCAAGTTCGTCTGTTTCAGACGGAAACTACTATTTATTCGAGATTCCAATTCTCTGTTCATGGACTCCTGTGCGATATTTGAGTTTTTGGTTCTAATTGCACTTGCTGAGTGTTTTTACTCACCTTTATGTTTATTTGGTTTTTATGTACCAATTGATCGCGCAACATGCATGGAAATAATTGGGAGTAGCACCTTCATGAGCACAAACATTTAGTTACTTATAGTTTATTCCTTAATTCTAAGTTTTCGCCACTGTAATGGTTTTATTAAAGGTCGTTTAAACGTGGTTTGATGTAGATGGTCGCTGCAGCGGGGAATGGTTATTCTATTTTATTTGGGTTGGGCCGTGATGCTTATGTTTTTAGCTATGCTTATATATCAATTATGAACTGCGATTATTTTGTCATGGATGTCTAGTTCTTAGGAAGATGTTGCCAAAATTTTCAATATCTTCTTTGCTTTGTGAGATTTATGTGTTGTTGGGTAGCCCCGGTGTAGTTTCTAGCGGGGGTGTTACAAGTGTGGCTAGCGTCCGGATGTCCGGACGTCCACGCTTGCCCCACCTGCTGCTGTTGCATGCCCGTCTGCTGTTGCTACGCATGCCCGCTTGCCGTCGCTGTGCATGCTGCTACACCTGCGCGCGCTTGCCCGCCTGCTGCTGCGTCCACAGGGACCGCCTCCACCTGCGCTCGCTTCCCGCGCCTGTTACTAAAAACACTTGCAACATGAAGCACGTGTTGCAACATACGTTTAAAACATGTGAAATATTTAGAACATACACTTGCAACATATGTATATAGCTACGTAACATATGCAACATCCAAATAAAACACTAGCAACATACGTCTAAAATAGATGAAACATATACTTGCAACATACGTGTATCGCTATTGCAACATATACAACACCAAATCTAATTTTGCAACATCTAGATGAAACATACGGAGCTCGACACCGGCGCGGAAACATGTATCGCTATTGCAACATATGCAACATTCACTGAAACGCATGAAACACATGGAGCTCAACATCAGCACGGATCTCGATGCCACGGAGTGGCGCGAAGATCGTCGGTGCGGAGCTTATCGGCGGCACGAACCTCGGCAGTGGCCTCCACAGGCTGATGGAGCGCAGCCGTGGCGGGAGACGTGGTGAATCCGCGCGGGCAGTGCGCGCGGCATACGACGCGGGCGGGCGGGGTTGGACTGGACTGACGCCCTACAGGGGCATTACCATTGACAAATAGGTTCACCCGTCAGTTTTTTTTTTTCCTATTTCTTTTTCTCTTCCTTTCATCGTCCTTTCTCCCGAAGTCCCCGTATACGTATATTTTTAAAAAAAATCCCAACGCAATCGCAAGGCGCTGGCCTCCATCGCCGCCGCCTGCACATCCATCGTCGCCGTTCGCGCCTCCGGAGCCCGCGACCGAAGCCTCGTCCCGCGCCCGCGACCAGCGACCGGAGCCCCACGCCCGCGGCGACGACTGGGCGGCCGCCGCCGTCGCCCTACCCCTGGTGCCAAGGTGTCCATCTCCGGGAGCTTCGCCGGCGACGAGAACCCACCAGGTACGCCCACGGCCGAATCCTTCTCTTCCTTTTCCTTCTGTGCGGAACCGAGTATCCAAACCCAACCAATTTGTATTCGTATCCGATCTGATCCAATTACAAGCGTCTTGGTGCGTGCAGAGCCATGCTGGGCGCGCGCGTGCAGCTGAAGGGGTGGCAACAGGCGGCTGTTGCATTTGGTTCTGCATTTGGGGCCTTGCTTGACCCAAGGAGGGCTGATCTTATAGCTACTCTTGGAGAGACTACTGGGAAGCCGGCATTCGAGCGTGTGTTGCAACGAATGAAGAACAGTGCAGAAGGCAGGGTAAACACATACTGCCCCCCTCTTGTGTGTTCTAGTTGTCCTAGACCATTTATGGCTGGGAATTCCTTGATAGATTTCGGCAATAGCAGCTTTTGTAAATCAAGTGCAGAATTACCACATTAGTGAAACACAGTTGTTTACTTGTTTTTCTCATTTGAGAATGAAATTTACACAACAATCACCAACAGGACGATACTCTGTTACTAGAATGGTTGTGAATACTGTTTTTTTTTCTCGAATACGCAAAAGATTTGCGTATCATTGTAATTAAGAAGAAATAGAGTTTAACCATACACACGACGCGCTTCTGATGAGCGCCCTAGGAGGTCTTACAGTTTGACTGGACCTTCCTAGCAGACTGTTTCGAACTTCGATATTACATAAAAGCAAACAACCGAACTACGAGCAGCGCAGTAACCAACGGGGCTTTAGGTCTCCGCTAATGGCCGCGCGACTCAGCTCCGTCATCCGAGAAGAGCCTTGTACCAATCGTAGCAGCGGTCGCCGGGAACAGCTCGTCCAGTGCTTCCACTTCGCTCAACGTCCAGTTCCTTGCGAAAAAGTCGTCGTAAGCTCTCTTGGACGCGGATGAGATTGGACCTGCCGGCGGTGCAAAGCCCATCCTCCGCATGAGGAGCACCTCGCCCCGCTTGGAGATCGGAATGTGCGCCAGCGGCTGAGCGGCAATCCGTCTGCTCCGCTTTGGCATGGGTTGCCGTATGGTTGGCACCTTCTGCCTGGGTGGGCTGGCGATTAGAGGCGGCGTTCACTCGAGCTGCACCTCCTCAGTGAACCGTGCGAGACGTCGGGCAGCTTCGCGTGGTCGCGTCGCTGGGGGTGGCGCCACCCTCTGCGACGTCGGGTGCTCCCGCTCGTGGTGGCGTGAGTTGTGAATACTGTTTTCCCCATTTTCCCTGGATGTTTTAGCAAGCTGATGTAATCAAGGACATATCTGATTAGGTTACTGTCTTGTGATTAATCATGTTGTGGTCAATTGCTGTATCCTACATTAGATTTCCATAGTATGATTGGATTACCAATTTCATGTGCAACTAAGATATGCCAAAAGAAAAACTCATGTCAACTTGCAAGTTATATTACCAATTTCAGGTGCAGCTAAAATATTGTGGCCTGTATTTCTTCCCCCCGGTCTATGTTACTGACCGACTTATTCCTCCAGGAAGTTCTTTTGGAGCGTCCTCGTGTTATATCCTCGCAGGTTTCCCATGCCTGGGACATGCCTCAGAACACGTTTGGTGCAGCATATGCTCAGTTCATGAGATCAAGGAACTTCTCACCAGACGATCGCCCACCTGTCCGTTTCATGGACACTGACGAGCTTGCCTATGTTGCAACACGTGCTCGTGAGGTGCATGACTTTTGGCATGTGCTGTTTGGCCTTCCAACAAACCTGATTGGGGAGACTGCCCTCAAGGTGATAGAATTTGAACAAATGTTCCTCCCAATGTGCATGCTGTCGGTTGTAGGGGGCTCTGCAAGGTTCAGTGAGAAACAAAGGACGCTGTTTGTCCAGCATTACTTCCCATGGGCAGCAAAGGCTGGTCTCAAGTGTACTGATCTGATGTCTGTATATTACGAGGAGCACTTTCATGAAGACCTGGAGGAAGTGAGAAGAAACTGGGGAATTCTACCATGCCCTAGTCCCAAAAAGAGCAGTGTATAGACTATAGACTAGCATATTCTGCATGAACTTAGTATTTGTTTCATATTTGGTTCCGTTAGTTGCTCGGTTCTTTTGGAATAACGTCATGACCTAATGTTCCTGAATACTGATACGTTAGCAAGTTCGAAGTATGGAAGTTGATGTGCAGTTCTCTGGAATACCAACAGGTTACTTTGAGATGATATAAACCCCGAGATTTTACTTCAACGCTTTTAAAGTAGTCTGACTGGTATTCTGCTTTAGTTCAGTACTAGAAGATACCCCGCGCATTGCTGTAGAATTCTCTTAAAAAAATTGTTGTATATGAATTAAATCATCTATATGTTCTTACATCTATTCTTATCAAAATTGGTTGCGTTAAGAGGTTGGTTGGAAGTTAATGGGATGCTGTTATTAGTGGGAAATGATGTTGATAGTTAGTGGAAGATGGTGTGGATAACTTACATGTTAAGATAAAACTTGTAGCAAGGATTAGCTTTATAAGAGATATATAGATAGGATTAGCTTTATAAGAGATATATAGATATAGATACCAATGCACTTTTTCAGATTGAATTAGAAGGCCATAAACCCACCTTTACCCTCAGCTTCACGGGATCGGAGACAAACTGAGAAGCCAAGTAGTAATAATTTAAGATGTAAAAACGGAGAGATGTTTAAGGAAGAACAAGTTCTGCATCGTGTAATGTTAATAAACTTTTGATTATATGGCAAACGTGGCTTTACAAAAAATGGAAATGCCGCACAACTTTGCTCATGCTGGTTCATCAAATTTACACAAAACTCCTCTTGCCGAGGACATGGCTTCCCTCAAAAGAATCACGCTATTGTACATGTGAAACACACGAAAAGAACACAATAATTACATGGCTCAAAACTTACAACACAACACAAGGTAGTGTGTACTACCCAACACGGTATAAATTATGCAGCAGCAGTAGTGCACAATACACAGCGTATACGAGACTGGCCTGATGGGGAACCATCCTCATCGTCCGTGCCACTGTCACTATCCTGATTACTGTTTGATCTCATCGAGTCTAAACCACCTTCAAGGCAAGACAGATGATATGCATGGCAGCAGTAGAACACGATGACAGAGATGTCCTGGATAGGCAAAGGATCGAAGCACAAGCAACACCGGGCACCACATCTCGTTCTGGACTTGATATCTAGAGCCCGGACGCTAGATGATCTCTCATGCCCCCGAGAGGATCCATCATCAGTTCTGTTCCCATGTACCTCCTCGTCCATGCTTGCCATGTAGACACCACGCCGAGCCTCATGGTAGTATTTAACCAAAAGGTTAACACAGTCAGCCTGAACAAGGCAAGTTTCGGATGGAAAATACTCAGAATTCGAGACGATTGAAATACGGAGCAGCACAGTATAGGAAAGAAAGTTAACCTTAAGTATATCATTGCATCCATTTCGCAATGAAGTTTCTGTTCGGTAATCCGTCACAATTTTCACAAGACGATCCCATAACCTATCAAAAGCATGAGTGAACACTCAAACCAGGGGATGAAATGGTTGGATTAAGGATCATGGCAGATCATTTAGAGCATTTTTGCCAAGGTTTCAGTCATGTAAGAAATTTTATAGCTCATAAATTTTTACGATAAATTTTGATGAAAACATACCGAGGTATTTCTAAGCCATCAGGAACCAAACTGACAATGTACAGAGGATCAAGATTGCCAACGGTATGTTCCAATAGATTCCCTACCTGCTCAACAGTCATAGAAATTAAAGTAAGAAACAAAGATGCCTCAGTCTAAGGAAGATTAAGCACCGTTTATTTCAGTTACCATTTCAGGCTTCTGGAGGCATTGTCTAATCAGTTCCTCCCACAGTTCATCATCATGTTGCTCTGTAACAAATTCAACAGCCTGTATGCATTTCAAGATTTATGTTACTGTTCAATCCCATATATAAAGTTAGCTAATATAGAACAGGATGTCTCAGAAATGGTAATATAATGGATAAGCAAGTTAGAACCTCCTGCATGTCTTCCAGTTTGTTTATAATTGTCGAAAGAGCTTCCTTAGCATTGCCCATTCGACCAAGGACAAAAACCTGCTCCCTTACAAGTTCCTTTTGTGCAAAGATTCCATATGCCTGAATAACAATAACAAATTATCAACCTATAGTTAACTAAAGAGAAAAATTTATGATGTGATTTTTTGGGGAAACAATGACCTTGTCAAGCCTGTAATGCTGACTGGTTCGGAGGAAGGGTAGTAGCATCCTTGGCTCGTATTCTGCATAAAGCTCCACCTATAATGCAAACAGTTTTGACTTGCAAGTTATTGTCAAAACACAAAGTAAATGTAAAAAAAACAATTGAGGGAAATGGACATAACAATGAGGGAGGCATTATTCCCATTTAAAGGGGGAAAATATTTGGTGCAAACCACCCTCTTGGTGCAATCGTGAAAACCCTTTCAAAAACCCTACTTAGAGGTTTCCAAAAATTATGAAACGATGCATATCCATAGTTCATCCATAGATGTACGTTGTAGCAAAAGTTGGGAGGCAAACTTATTGTGTGAAAATCCAAACAAAAATGACAAAACTCAGGTGCAAGTGCACTAGAAGACAAATTTCCTGGGAATTTGTCTTCTAATGCAAATACACATGAAATTTTTCATTTCCATATCAGTTTTTCTAGATTGATTTTGTTTCCAAACTTTTGCTACAATGTACATCTATGGATGAACTATGGATATGCATCGTTTCATAATTTTTGGAAACCTCCAAGTAGGGTTTTTGGAAGGGTTTTCACGATTGCACCAATAGGGTGGTTTGCACCAAATATTTTCCCATTTAAAGGCCCCTATGTTAAAATGTGGCACAAAAGGTACCTGCATATCATGAAAATCCTTTCCAGCATGTACATCTATCTCAAATAAAGCATGCAAATATAGGTGTAACAAATATCTCTTGTCACAGTTTTTACTGGTATGCAACAACTGCTCCACAACTTCATATGGGGGAATGATATCACGGTGTTGGATCAGTAGGTGAACTGTTCTTTTATTATCCACTATCATAAGATTGACAACCTGTAGAATATTAAAAAAAAAGTGTTTCAGTGGAGGATATGGAAGGCTTTTTTTCTAAATCATATTGTATTAGCAGCTAAATTGGACTCGTCCATTTTGGTACCTTATCACAAATGGCATCATGCAAGTTGTATTTCTCAATAAACTCGAATACTTCTGGCTTCAAGAGCTGAACCAAATGGATTTAATTAGAAAGTCTTTGGTATTTAAAAAAATATATTTTGAGATGTGCCTACAAATACAGCAATTTAGGATGTACTTACTTCAGCATAAAGAGAAAGTGCCTTTTCATATTGACCATTGATCACATACAATTCTGCTAATGCCTACATGGAACATAAGACAAAGATATCAATCAAAGAGTGAAAGCAAATGAAGTATATATATGTCTTACATCCATTAAACGATGTCCCTCCCCACCTCTTTCAATGAATCAGTCATCGATGAGGAGTTTAGCTGTGGCTCAATGGCAGATATGACCGGTGAAGCTGAGTATAATGTTGGTGGCCAATTTTGATAGTAGTCAAGAGAAGTTCATGGAAAGAAGGATTGGTAGTTAGAGCAACAAGGGCAACCTACACAAGAAAATCAGAATAATTACAACAGATAGTGTTAAAACTAGTAATGGAACTTACAAGTTAGTACAACACCTCATCATGCAGTATCACTCAGCTGAGGATTTTCTGTAGGTATATAAGGGACCAAAACAGGAAGTTGGCGAAGATGAGCAAAGTGGAAGACCCATCTGTTGCATAAAAGTTTTGGTTAAAAAAAAGGAATCAACTAACGCAGAGGGGGAGATCCATCAACATCTCACAAACTCATCAATGTTATACTAGATCATCTAGCAAAAGGTGATATCTGTGTATCAACATGCTTTTCTAACCTCTCCCATGCTGAAGGAGATCCTCGCAGCAACTTTGGGCAGCGCTGAGCAGCTTCAGCATATTTTCTTTCAATTATCAAGTGATCAAGGTATCTTGAACCCACCTGGATTAACAACATGAATGAAACAACTTTAATGCATAAAGTATTTCTAATGTAATTAGGTGTCCTTTTAAGGACAGGTCCTTCTCATAGATGGGCTCAAAAATGGTAGACCTTTATATATTGGCTGTAAAAGATGCCACACTTTTAGCTTTCTGAAAATACATGGGACAGTTTTCATGTATAAGATAAAGGAAAGTGAGACAGTTTTTCTTTTATCTGCATTAGTAGGGACAGTTTTCGTGACACTCTTTAAGAGTCTGTAAAATGACCTGTTTTGAAAGGAAACATCTATTTGTGCATATAGAGGTCTCATTTTCTGAAGAATAGCTAACCATCATCTTAAATATGGTATAATAACCAATACCAAGAGAGCTCAATCATCATGAGAGCTATTTAACAATGCACACTATTTCTCTAGTTCACCTCATCAAGAAGCTCAGTGCGTCCTTGCACTGCCTCAACTGCAGCCAATGCTTTTTCATGGCAACCATGTTGAAGAAGCCAAGCAATATGATCTTCAGCATCTCTAATCAGAAGGTGCACACTATATCAGTCATGGGATTATTTTGGGGGAAATTTTGCCACAGGACACTCAAAACACCTTATTTTTACTGAAAGATATTGGAACAACTGATTTTTGCTGCTGGACACTACAAAATTGTGTATATTCGCTGATGGACATGGTTCAGTGTCCTCCAGAAAATGTATGGAAAAGATCAATTATTTCTAACATTCGCTGGACGTCACTAACCTGTGTCCCATAAGAAATATACACAAAGTTGTAGTGTCCAGCATCAAATATCAGTTTTTTCGGTGTCTTTTAGCAAAAGTGACAGTTTTTGTGTATCCTGTGGAAAATTTTCCGTTGTTGGTATGGAAAGGACAGAAACCTAAGCTAACTGAGCAATACCAAAGAAATTCAAACATTTAACTAACATAGCTATACCGCTATAGCCAAAAAGAAATGAAACAGCACTACATCCAACATTTTCTTAATTTTGTCAGTAGAGTTCAGTTCTGTATCACGATTTACTCATTCAATTTCAATTAATATAATATCCTCAAAGTGACAATTAGATATCGTAAATTGGGGGCTAATATGAGCTCCTGTTTTGTAACAAACCTTGGCTTTGCAACCACTATGTCCTTAGGAGACACAATGTAATACAAAGGTTCATCGCCAGCAGCCCACTGTCCACCTGCATTGCTACTTCCTGAATGATTGGACAAAAGAATCAGGGTTCCTTCATTAGAAAAGTTCCCATCAATAAGAAAAGAAATGTCACTCATGTTAGAGCACGATCAATTAAACCTGAGAAAGGTGCATGCGCAAGAGCATAGTCCTTTGCCTTGTAATGCTCATAACCATGAATAGGCAGAGCATCTGTAGTAAGTTCATCATTTTTCCATGATACAAGATGTATTTCTGGACGCTGTGCAGTTCCCTGCAAAATGTTAGAGACGTAATAAGAACATCAATCTCAGAAGCATCATTTTAGAAGCAAAGGTATATGGTATACAATGCAGATGTAACAGATATTTAGAGGTATGATGATTACCTGTCGTGAAGTAACAGAAGTACTAAATGTTCTCTCTTTTTTGTCCTCGTCAGGAATATAGGCAAGTACAACTAAAAGGTCACCAAATGGAGCAATCCCAGATATGTGGTAACCTGTTTGGAATGAGCCTACAACGTCCACATACTTCTCAGAACTAGCTGTGGTGATAGTCCTTTGTAGGCCATTGAATCCCTGAGATAAATCTGTTCGAATCGCTGCAATCTTGACACTTGTTCCCCATCCAATAACTAAGACTGTATCATCCTAAGTAGGCAAAGATCAGTTAACACAACGTGTACTTTTATATCAAACTATAAGAAAAGAAAATTTTAGAAGTATGTCTTGGGAGTCAGACACGCTAACAACATGAATAATTTCATATCAACCAGAAAATAACATGGTTACCATGCTCCTTGACACAATTTAAAGTATGATCAATTCATTAAAAATGGGTGTGTCGTGTGTTTTTCTCTGTGTTTTGTGCCTCTGGCTAATATCCTGTCTTCCACACACCAAAGGTAAGAGCAAATATTTGACTTATTGCACATATCACCAAAACTTTCAACTTCACAAAAGTCTTTTGCTTTTGCACCCTTCTAACAATATTTTACTTATATGCTAACAAAATTGACATTTACCAGTTGAGGTATATATGATTATATGGTTCAACTAAACTACGCATAATCCATATATAGATATAAAGATATAATTACCTGCCAGACTAGGTGGGGAAGCAAGAACTCTGGTCGAGGAATGCCTTTTGGTCTCTCTATGAATGCAATTCCTTTGTCTGTCCTCATATCATGCACTTTCACCCCTGCATCGTTAGCCCAAGCAAGAAGGTCCGCCCTCCACTTCATCGAATGGATTGGCCCTTCACCATCACGCAAAACCTACATAACGATCGAGCAAGAGATGAGATAACCATTAGAGGTCACTAGATGCATCAGATCTATTATCCTAAAAACCCGAACTTACCTTCTTATGGTAACCTCCCCAAGACTTCTTTGTCAACACAAGTACTTGGCCTGCCAAACCACCAGTAGCAAATCCTCTATAGTTCCGGGCATAATTAGGGTCTAGAGCCATTGCCTTCATGGGGCGATGGTACTCAAACTTTAGTTTTTCATCAGTGAAGAGGCTGTTTATTGCCACTGTGCCATCATCTGAGCAGCTTCCTATATATTCACCGTCCCCATCAAAACTTATGTCATTGATAGTTGCTGTGTGTGCAGCAATTTCTTTCACCTATATACAAAACATAAATAAAGCACAATAAGATGAAACCGATGCATATTATCAGCACACCAGTGTAGCATTTCTACAGATTGAATCTACATGGAGTGACAAAGTCATTGGATCACACGCTTTAGTTTTGCATATCATGTGTCATTATTTGGCTCCATAGCTTCTGCAACCATAAGAATGTGAAATTCGAATCAGAACAATACTACAGTAGTGTGATCATTATTACCAAAAGTCCAAAACTATATGCATCACATGATTTCAAGCTGCGATGAAGGAAGCTAGAAGCAACCCCAATTCTGTACATCTACGTGTCTCCAGCAACCGTGGGAGCGTCTAAAGCCAAGTCAGTTTCGGAGATAAAATCCCTCAAAGCTCCAATCATTGAACAGGCAAGTAGTTTTGACCCAGCAAGCATAGAGGAAGCTCCGAGAGCAGTCCCAATGCCACGATCCTGTCTCCCTCCAACCCCCGTCCCCATCACAAGCCCCAATTCCGCGAGGAGAGCGCGCCCTTTGGCGAGGAGTACCTGGTTGCCCTGGAAGTCGAGGATGTGGAGGATGCCGTTGTGGGTACCGAGCGCAACCATGCGGTCGGCGACGGCGATGGCGGCTGCGGCGTCGGTGGAGAGGATCGCCGGCACGCTCCCGCCCAGACGCTGGTACTTGAGCCGCGGCTCCTCCTCGTCCTCCTCCTCCGCCTCGTCATCGCCCACTTCCTCCTCCTCCTCCTCCTCGCGCTCGTCGTCCCCGTCGTCGCCCCTCGAGCCGTTCTGCAGCGGCGGGTGGGCGCGCCGCGCGGGCGCGGTGGACATCCTCTCGCCGCCGGCCGGCCCCGCCCGCCCGCGAGATCTCCCGTTCCGAGACGATTTCCGGCGAAGCCGAGGGCCCGCGTGTAAAAATTGCTTTTGTTTCGGTGTCCGTCTATCAATTTGTCGTGAACGCCTTAACTAGTCGAGTGAATGACCGAGTGCAGCCGAGCCGGGTCCGTCTGGCGTACGCGTACACGGTCGAGCCAGGACCCAGGAGAGCCATGCGCCGGGGCCGGGCCTTCGGCTCGTGGTCGTGGTGTGGCTGCTGGGTGCTGGCCGGCCGGGGGGCTGAATTTTTTTTTTTGTCCTTTTTAAAAAAAAAGTTTTTTCACAAATATGCTCTGGAGTTATGATTTTAAAATCTAGACCTTTAGCTTGGCACTGGAGTAATTGGCGCCGAGCTTACACGTATCGGCCCCAGTGCATATGGCGCCTAGGTTTTGGGCCACGTAGACGTCAATGGCCCTGTTCGCTTCTCTTATAATCCATCTTTTTCAGCTTGTTTTTTTCAGGCGGAACAGTGTTTTTCTCTCACAACAAATCAGCCGGAACAGTGTTTCGGCTTATTTTTTCAGCGAAGCGAACGGAGCCAATGAAAACATGACGGTGACCTGGCAGGCACCTTGGCGCCACAGATCTTGGCGCCGAGCTTGTTGCCGTAGATCTTGGTGCCGAGCCCGGCGCCAGATATCTTGGCGTCGTTCCGACCTTATAGGTGGGTCTGTTTTCTCTCTCCTCCTTCCTCTCCTCTCTTCCTCTCCCATTCTCTCACACGGCGCTCCACGCCGGTAGGCGAGCTCGCCTGAAAGCACACCTGTCGCGTCGATCACAAGACCGCCCGCCCGCTTCCCTTGCCAGTTCCCCGCCCGGCCACGCCGCCGAAACCCACCTCTCGCGTCCGCCACGCCCACGTCCCGTCCGCTGCCATCGCCACCGCGCCATGGCGCTTGGGGCCGAGGCCCGTCCGTCCCTGGCTGGCAGCCAAGCCGCCTCGACCCACCGAACCTCGCAGATCGTCTTTGCGCAGCGTCGTGAGGAGTCCCGGACGCGCCCATCCCCACCCCACGCGCCGAATCATGAGGTGCCGTGTTTCAAGACACCGGTGGCGCGCGCCTTAGGCCACGCCCGTCCAACTTCATTGGCTTAGCCGCCGTCGTCGTCAAGCGCACCGCCCCTGCGTGCCTCGGGCCGCCGAGCCCATGTGGCCGTGGTCAAGCGTCGCACCGGCTTTGGAGTGCCCGACCACGATCTATTGTCTTTGCGCGCCCCCACCAAGCCCGAGCCACGGCATCGTGCCCGCCCACGATCATTGCCAGTGCCGCCCTACCGTCGTCCGAACCCGAACGGCCGTGATGAATGGCAAACCCATGCTACACCGCCTCCCCTTGCCCGGCTCCACAAGGGGCGGCGGGGTCGAGGCTATTAGCGGGTGCCGTTTGTTCGCCTCTCAATCTGCTGCCGCCCGCCCTCTTTAGCCACTCCGGTTCTTTCGGCCGGGTGCACGCGCAGGCGGCGCACGACGCTTCCCCCTAGCCGCTCTCTGCTGTCTTGTCGATCGGGTTGCGCCTCCCTTGCACTCGAGGTACATTAGTTTTAAAATTTTGTTATTTAACCGTGGTTATTAGTTGGTTAGTGTGGTAGTGATTGAGATAGGTAGAAAGATATTTAGATTGATAGGCTGATTGATGGATGCTTTACATAGTTAGATATATAGTTAGTTACATAGTTATATAGTTAGTAAGATAGTTAGTTAAATAGTTATATACTTAGTTACATAGTGATTGAAGTCTGAAATCGAATAGACTTTTCAGTCACGGAATCTAGGAGAAATAGCCTTTACAGTGATTTGTTATATCACCGTCGAATATATTTTTCAGTGTCCTTTGAAATAGTGATTGAAGTCTGAAATCGAATTGGCTTTTCAGTCATGTAATCTAGGCTCTCCAGTGTCCTACGATGTAGGCTTTTTAGTGATTCTGAATAGACTTTCCAGAAGCATTTACAACACAATACAACGGCTAGCAAACCTGCCTCCGCCTATATATATGAGTTCTAGGATGCATTGCTAATCAAAAGAAAAACCAAACTAGTATTCGGTTTCGTTGGAGTAGGAATGTTTGGAGGGTCATATAGAGTAAAGGGGTTCGGGAGTGGGAGAGAAAAAGGGGGACGATGGGAACTTCCATTATGTGGGAGGGGTCTCTTGGGCCTGATTTATTTGAGGAACCAGTGTATCAGTTTTCCCTCGAGAGCAAGAGTAATTTTACTAAAGAGTGCCCTCTCAGAGGATACGATAACATGAAGAAAGATTGACCAAAATACATGTATGGTGAGGACTGCTTAGTGCAGATATTCACCGAGGGGATCGACGGAGGTCTTTGCTTTTTCAAATGCCGACGATCATGAGTAATTGCTATTACATTTCGTTTGTTAAATATATTTCTCGAATACCCTTACAACTCACAGGACGTACTTATTGTAGTCTTCCGAGTCCGAAGAAAACTGTGGGTTCACTAGGTGGGTCGATCCTCGACCAATTTATCCGCATCAGCAGTACATCTACTATCTGCAAGACCAAATCTTCGATCTACAAAGAGAAGTTAGCAGCGGGTATAAGGAAGACGAAGACGACGACAACAACAATGGTGCAAGTTCACAGGAAACACTCTGCAATGATCCATATTGCACCTACCCTAATCACAAGAACAAGGGGCCTTCGCCGTCACCCCCGTCGCCATCACAACCAACAATGGGAGGCTACTGTAGAGAAGGTACAACACAATTTGCTATATGGCCACACTATTAGGACGATCCAATCTTATTCACATGGCACATCCATATGTTTATTGTTTGGTTTAATTATCTAAGGCATATTAGATTTAGTCGAAGAAACTATGTACCCTTGTTTAATACATGTTCTCACATGTCATTTTTTGTGCTTGTTGTTCGCTTCAATTACCTAAGGCATGTTAGGTTTAGTTTAGGACCTCTGTACCCTAGTTCGATACATGTTCTCACATGCCATTTCATGTGTTTTGTGTGTTGAATTATATAATGTCCTACTTCGTTAGGTTTTGTTTGCAGCACGTGATCATATTTCACTACGTCCACAATATTAAACTGAATATTATGACCACAAATAATGAAAACAACTACCTAATAAAAAGTCCAAAACTATGACACATTAAACAACACATTAATACTAGAAGTACGTATCGACAAACTAAATAACACAGTACATGATCTAAGTATGCCCATACTTAAAGTGCATTACATGACAACACAATAAAAAGTCCAACAGTAGACAACATTGTTCATGAATAAACCATAGAACTAACAAGTAATGGAGACTACAGAGTGCAACGAGGCAACTTTCTCTTTCTCAGGGCATCGAGATTCTCCTCCATCGCTGCTTTCGTTTGGCGTGCACGCTCAAGCTTCTCCCTCTCCTCCCTGTACGTAGCAACACGCCTCCTTTTCTCATCTTTCTTGTGCTCCTTTTCTACAGCCTCCTCTCCGCGTATCTTCTCCATCATCTCCTTATCATCTGTCTCCCACCACAATAGTTTCTGCATCCATTTCTTGTCTTCAGGCTTGATCTCAGTGTCGATCCACTGCTCAAAATCACAGAGCGGTGGAGGGATCTGTAAAAAATACAATTGTTACAAAACAAAAAAAATCATGCAAGATGTCATATGACACAAACATCAATTTCCCCACCATCTTGTTAATGCGGCGCTGACGAAGTGTAGGCTCAAACGCAAAATTGGAACACATCCAATACCTTTGTCTATACGTGTCCTCTTCATCGGATTTGGCTACCTTGCAAGGATCGCCGCAAAAGCACATAGGCACTGGAACACCACTAGGTAGAGACAATGGGTCAAAGGCATTTTCGGTCATCCGACCAAAACTACAATTTAGCCATTTTCGTTCTACGAACCGAAAGCAATTAATATTAAACCATACACCTAAGGTTTTCCATTTGATCCACAACAATGAACCCATATTATAACAGCGTGCGCTGAGGTTAGGTAGCTTTTTCACGCCTCGGCACCCTACGGTTGTATAATATAAATATTAAAATTACATAAAATCCTAAGTAATGACGATTCTTAAGTTAAAAAATCTGACTAGTATATACTGAACCGATTTAGAAAAAAAACTAGGAGGCAGCGAGGATACCTTGCTCTCGAAGATTTACGGATCAAATCAAAGTTTTCAAGGTCCAATATGTCGAATCGTGGGGTAGGACGAAGTGGGGAGATAAAAAATCCGAGAGGGAGGAGAAAGAAGAGGAAAAAGGCTCGGGCAATAAGGTTGGGTGCCGAGTTAAAACACCACCTCGACGCCATAGATCTTGACGTCGTTCTCGACGCCAATAACCATGGTGCCAAGCTCAGCGTCAAGATCTATCTTGGCGCCATAGATCTACGACGCCATGGTGCCTGTCAAGTCACCATCACGTCTGCGCCGAGCCCAAGACTTAGACGCTAAATGGCGCCGAGACGTGTAAGCTCGACGATAGCGCCGAGCTAAAGATCAAGATTTTAAAATCATACCTTAATAGATATATTTGTGAAAAACTTTCCTAAAAAAAAGGCTAAAAATAAAATTAAAAAAAATCGGCCGGAGGGGTCGGCGGTCGGGTCTCCATCGGTTTCGAGTGCTGGACCTGGACCGCGAGGAGTGGGTACACGTGGGCCTCCAGGAGCTTCTGGCTTGGTGGATCCCAGCAATTAAGAATGTCATCGTCTCGCCATTGACGTTGTTTCTCGCTGATGTTGGCAAACAGTGAAGCAGTTGTGTCACCTAAAGAAGGTAGTACACACTTCGGGAAGAATCAGACAAGCTACAGCTACAAGCTACAGCTATCTCAGTTTCGCCTGTTAGCCCCGTTTGGCCGGGCTCTGGGCAGCTCTGGCTCTGGCTGCTGAATCACGGTAGCTGTACTATTTATCGAAGTTGTTTTTCTCTCTTCTTCTTTTCTCTCTCACTGACAC